TAAAATGGTTCTTTTAAAAACTGTTCACTGAAAGGTTTTTTGGGGAACCCAAAATGGTTCTTTTATGGTATTGCTGTGAATATCATTTTTCAAAATATTTTATTTTATATTCCACTGAAGAAAGAAAAGTCATAGGTGTACCATTTGGAAATGTTTTTTTTTAAGTATGTTTAAAAATATACTTATATAATAAAATATATCTGAAAAGAAATGTCACATGGGTGTGTCTTTTTTGCAAAAAATTAAGCACCCGAGACATTTTTCAAAATATTTTATTTTATATTCCACTGAAGAAAGAAAAGTCATAGAGGTTTGGAACAACATACGGGTGAGTAAATAAAATTGTAATATCTCAAACTGTCCCTGTCTAGTTCAAAGAACTATCTGCTATTGTATTTTAACAATGTTATAAAGAACACCAGAAAGTGGTTGAAGACTCGCAGCTAGATTACTGCATGTCATCATATTCCACTCTGACCCAAAAACGCTCCATGTGAACCCTAAAGATAAAGAGTGAGAGCAGAGACAGATCAGCAGGCCCCAGAAATGACCTCAGTCTTACCGAGAATTAGGACTAAAAGAGAGAGAGTGTGTGTGTGAGGGCTTGAAGTACAGCTTGTAATGGACTTTCTCTGCCTGCAAACATGTCTGTTCTTTAGATACAAAAGATACACTGCATGTTATGTGATATTACAGTGGAGACAGCCAGTTGAGATTAACAGCATTGATTAAGTGCAAAGACATTACATATTAGCTCTGATCCAAAACGTGACTGCCGATCCTAACAGCAGATAGGACAATTATGCTGCTGTCTAAAATGCTAGATTCACAAATGCATTGCACTGGGCTCAAAGTTCAAAACCACGCATTAGAAAACAGAAAAGTGTCTCAAGGGGTTGGAACTGGGCTGTTTTAAAATGCCTTGAAAGGAATCATTAACCATAAAAGGTCAGTTATAAAAAGTGTTTAGTGTACCAACAAGTTTGTGCAAATTACAAGATACTGTATATAGTCATTGTCTGGATTCCTAACATAGTTGAATAAGGAAGATCCTCTAAGTGGGACTGAACAGAATGAGATAGGATCACAAAAGCTCACTGGCATTGGTTTTCATGTGTTTCTATAGAGTCTGTCCTATTTGAGCGTTTGTAATGAAGCTTTCATCTGGCTCCTCCTCCAGCTCATCGTAACGTCCAATATAGAAAGCACTTCAGACGGTTCACTGTGGCCACTGCTACCATGTCTGTTTTTAGTGAGGACACTGGAAAGGTTAAGAGGGCCATGAAGATAACTTCAAAACATGACAGTGTCAAGGGTAGATAGTTACTGTAAAGTCAGCTGTTGTGGTGTTTGTTCTCAAAACAGCCGTCTGTCTCTCTGTTATTATCTGCCATCTTGCGCACACACACACTTCCAGCAGGAAAAGTCTTTCACAGCCACTTAGGAACCTAGTTGCAAATCCTCATACTCTCTTTAAGCTAGTTACTAAACAGACTTAAACTAAACGTGCTCTAACTACAGATTCCAGCATTTTAAGAGGCTGTGATGCTCAGAAATAGTGAGGAGTGTCACTCCAGTCGAGTGTTATATACAGCTTGCTGAAGTTAACAATATAACACCGCCGCACAGTGAACTTTCACCCACTTTTCCACCCTTAAGCTAAGGCGAAGACACCTGCCAAACAAGCCTATGCTGCTCGAGCTTTAAGAGAGGAAATAGCTGGGAAACAATGAAGTGTGCAGCGGTGGAAGCACAGACAGAGAGCTTTCAAGAAACTGATGTTTGATTTTCTGCAGCAATAGTGGTTTCCAAACAGGTTTTCCACCCCACCACAAAGTCACGCTATTGGTTGAGTCACAAGTTGACATTGCTTAAAGAAGCAGATCAATGTTGTGAAAGAAACAAGGAACCACTGTCTTTTGACAAGGGTTAGGGCAAAATTCACAATTGAAGGAATTGGCTCCTTTTAGATTTAAGAGTGCGTCTAACCTGCTTCATGTTGTTTGACTCCATTTTGAAAAATCTTGGGGGGCATTCTGGGAAATGAAGTGTTTTTTTCCCCCCATGTTCCATAAAATAAAGATCATCCACTTGTTAATGTCATGCTTCACTATTTCTGGGACCAAATGTTCTATCAGATTCCAAAACAAACAACAAATGGTGCTAATATACACTCGTGATGTGCTGTAGTTACCAAAATACCGGGAAAGAATGAAGGAAAGAGTTTATAAATCATACTAAATGATGAGGGTTAGGGTTAGAAGATCAAATATAAAGGTTGTACCATATAAAAATCAATATGTCTATGGAGAGTCCCTGTGTGTGTGTGTGTGTGTGTGTGTGTGTGTGTGTGTGTGTGTGTGTAAACATTTATGCTTGTGAAACATCCCGGTTAATGTCAGAACACTTTGCTTGCTCAATATGTTATATCACGTACCAAACACTACACGTGTACGAAACAGGGCATGTTGTGCCGTGCCTGTTTGATTCTGTAGGACAGGTGTGAGATAAATGTACAGGCTGGAGGCTTTTGTCTGTGTTTATTCAGTTGTTTCATTTTAATAATTGTTCTAGCAGTTTTACACAGGATCATGTTCAAGCGTATTATTATTTCAATAGTAATGACAACCACATCCAGGGTGTAGAAGACCAATCACCAGGTGACTCAGAGAAAGAGGAATTATGGGAAGGGTGTCATTGTTTTGGCATATGTAATGTGGATTACATATGCCAAATGTGGAGGTGGCTACATATCACATTCCTCTGGTGAACAGGTTATTAATATTTGGCAGTTCTCACATGCATTTATTTGTGATCACTGGAAGAACGAACGAACAAGGGCAATGCTGTGTGATTACTGTGATTTTAGTCTCTTCGATAACTTAACTCAAATTAAAAGAGGCCACTTTAAAGTTCTTTATAATATTCTGATCTATAAATTTGTCTCTCTCGTAATCCTAAGATGCATGCAGTCAGAATGGCGTTCATGTGTAATCACCATAAACAATTATTGCATGTCTGCCAGTGTTAGAGCAAAGATGCAAGTGAAATGAATCTGAGTTACTATCTAAAGACCCTGAAGCTTAAAAACGCCAGTCAGCCATCAAGGCCTTTCCAAAAGGTTCTCCATAGGTTGCTGACATGTCTGTGCTCAGACCAAGAGCTGTGATTGGTTACTTGTGACACGTGGCAGTCTATGTCCCGCCCCCACAGTGAGGAATGTGCAGAGAGAGGGACAGGCAATATTTACAAACACTGTTTAAAGAGACAGAGCTCACATAACACCATATTACCCGCAGCACCAGAAATGCACCGTAGCAGCCAAAGCCAGACCAGTGACATTATTTCACCCCCGGCACCTTCAGCAAGCCAAAGGCAATGACAATATAATCAAAGGAATGATGCAAGTCTGTGAAATCACTTAAACACAGCCGGCTTGGCCTTTACTTCCATGGTTGCACAATTCTGACTCCACAGTTTGAATGACTTTCAACTCCGCTTGATAATAAAAAGAATTGTATTAACAGTGTAAACATCTATATAGCTTTATTCTTGCTCAGCATTACTCTATACAAGACAAAACAACACAAGCCATACTCAATGCTGTCTGTCCTCTAAGGCTGACTGTACATTTGTGCGATTTCATTACTATATGACGCAAGGAATGGCTGATAGCATTATCTAGGTTGTGGCTAGAAGGAATACAGCAAAAACCGGAAGCTAACTGTAAATTAATGTTTCTACCTATTAGATTGTGTTTTATTAACGTATGCACCTACCCCAACCCTAAACCTACCCCTTACAATAATGCAAAAATAGTCATTATTGTTGTACAGTGTAAGAAAAATGAGGCTATATTGATGTGCGCATGCCCAGTAGTTTTTGCTGTAGCCCACTATCTGCCCAGCCCCCACCGCTTCACTTACAGCGCTGGATCTGGTGTAAGCCTCTGATTGGCCCAGCGGCCGGAGTGGGCGGAGTCAGGCCGTTGCTACGCGCGCCGTGACGTCACAATCAGCTGTTTTGAACGTTCTATATTCTGCTGTGCGGATCAGCTGGGCGAAGCAATAACACACACACACACACACACACACACACGCGCGCGCGCAGACTGACACGACGTGTAAAGCAGATTTCTTCTGAGAAGAAAGACTTTTTCATTTTTTATTTTTTTTTGTGAATTTACTACCTCATATAAAGAGAATACCTAAAGCTATGCTTTAAGATTTTTGTGGTTGTTATTGTGTGGTCGTCGCGTTTACATCTTGAATACTTTTGCAGGTAAGACAGGTAAGATCTCTTTCAGTCTTTCAAAGCGAGATCTGTCTCGGAGCAGAGCAGAACCGAGTCTGGACTAGATCAGAGCTGCCTTGTAGAAGCGAGCGCTAACAACATCTGTCCATAACCTGCAGAGTGTCCATAAGTGGATCTGTATGAGCTGTTTTATTCTCGTGTCATTCCTATCATAGGACAGCATCAGCATTGTTTTGCTCTGGTCACTAAAATAGCCAATCGTTGATCAATATTGTGTTTTCAAGTCGCCGTTTGGGGTTGATTTCTGATATTTTACGTCAGGGTCGAGCCTGTATCTGCAGCAGCTCAGATTTTGATGAAACCAGCTTTATTATTGTGATTTTAGGGCTGGTGTATACAAGCTGTGGTTGTTTGAGTGATCTGAGAGCTGGTAATACCCTTGATCCGAGCTGTCATTGCTGTGACCCTCTCTCTCTCTCTCTCTGTTCACTGCTGTTTTTTGCTGTACTGTTTTTCAAGCATAGGGCCACGGCTGCCCAGCATTCACGCAGGATAGGTCGGGAAACACACGATTCGATGTTGTTTTCAAGCAGCATCTGTCAGACGAACGATAAATTCACTTTTATAAACGCACTTTCCTTCCTGATGAATGCACTCAGTTTATCTGAGAAAAAGAAGCAGCTATTTTCATATCTTGCTGCTAAGCATAGTCATAAACCGGGTTGTGTTTGCTGGTTTCTATCAGAATGGCCCTGCTTCCGTTCTGTTATTTCATCCTCTGTCCGCTGGTCTCGCGAGGGCGGGGTCAGTGGCGCCAGGATGGGCCAGAGGCAGCTTCAGTAGCATGCGCCCGTCCCCGCAGTGAATGTCATGCATCTCAGATATGCGGCCCCTCTCCTCCCACCTGCAGAAACCGCAGGACTAGAGCAGGCAGAATACAGGCAGCACATCCTTCCTCCCCTTCCATCTGCTCTCCTCCTGATCCCGCCTCCTTCTCTTACCTTGAGTCAGTAGAAGTGAATGTGTTCTTAAGCGAGCGGGGCTCAAGCTCTTGTAGTGACTGCAGCATGGATGAGAGCTGGTTTGTCACCCCTCCCCCCTGTTTTACTGCAGAGGGAGCCACGGCGGAGGCTAGCCCCATGGAGGACCTCCTCATCGAGCACCCCAGCATGTCCGTGTACGTCTCAGCTGGCCCTCTCCCGGTGGAAGAGAGCACCACCAGCCTGGCTGGCAGTGTCAGGTAAATTTCACTTCTGCTGTTTGCATTCTTTTCTCCAGTGAGATTTCACTTAGTTTCTGTTATTTGTGTAAAACAAATGACAGAATGTCTTGTTGTAACATTGGTTAGGACAAAAACATGGAAGGACAAATGCTGGGGTGTCCAATCCTGTTCCTGGAGGGCCAATGTCCTGCAGAGTTTAGCTCCAATCCCAATTAAACACACCTGAACCAGCTAATCAAGGTCTTACTAGGCAAACTGGAAACTTCCAGGCAGGTGTGCTGAGGCAAGCTGAAGCTAAACTCTGCAGGACATTGGCCTTCCAGGACCAAGTTTGGACACCCCTGGACTAACACATCTTTATTACTTGCTGACATTGGACATTTTGTTGAGCCTATTTCAGGGGTCCTAGGAGTTTTGCTCCAACCTTAATCAGAAAAAATCTGCATTCGTGTCATATCCCGTCTACTGAGATATTTTCATCTGATTGATTTTTGAAGGCAGCATAGATGTATCCTTCGCTGCACCTTTGATATCCCACAATCCTATGTATTAGATTCCATCACAATTGAGCTAAAAATAAAGAACAAAAGCTTTTTCTGTTTTGCTGTAGATCATTAAACTATTATGCCACCTCAGAAGCCCATCCAAAATCAGTTTTGGAAGGTACCTTTGTTCGTAAATGCTGTCATGCAATCAGCTTTCGGACGTAGCCTTTAAGAAATTCACGTATTATAGGACCACCTGGTGGACAATTTTTACAAAATTTGGTACACTGCCTCTAAAACGTGCTCTGCACTAATATTGTCAATATCAAAAAGATCAGACATTCCCGATAGAAAATATAGGCCAATTGAAAATATTGGCTGTTGATAACCATTTTTGTTCAACTATAAACCAATGTATTCAAAATCTGCATATGACTAATATTGTAGGACAGGTGTCCAAACCTGTTCCTGAAAGGCCACTATCCTGCAGAGTTTATCTCCAACCTGAACAAAGGCTGTCTCCGAAATCGCCCACTATACCCTTATTCACTATTCCCTACATTAGGCCACTAATACAGTTCACTTGAAGGAGTGAATGAAAATGAGTGAGTGAGTGCACCAGAAGGACTGCCACTTTTGCATAGTTTGTGCTTGCTCTTTAATAATAATTTAAAACTGGCAGCTCCAGTAGTAAGATTAAAGTATTTATCTTGAACTCTGTCATGGAAATTATGCATAAACCCTAGTTCAACAATATAATAATCAATTTCAATGAATTTATACCTGTGTTGTATTACACTGTATTATGCCATGGATGAGCGTTTTGTAAAATGAATGGATGGATGATTCAGCTGCGGGCGCCTTCTTCTGGCGAGACGCGGGAATTCATTCAGCGTGCGACTCTCACAGTGCATTATGGGTATTCTCTAGCCATTGAGCGTGTACCGGTTGTACACTTGGTGCATTGTGGGACTGAATGAGTGCATGCAAGAACATCCACTATTGTTTCGGACACCACTACAAATGGTTGTCCCCTCAAATAGGGCCCAATTTAAAGATATAGGGTGCAATTTCAGATAAAGCCAAACTAATCATGATCTTCAGACTTAATAGAAACTTCCAGGCTAGCGTGTTGGTGCTGGTTGGAGCTAAACTCTTCAGGATGTTTGCCCTCCAGGAGCAGGTTTGGACACCCCTTTTGTAGGATTTGTCAGCAAGGGTGTACAATCCTGGTCCTCAAGGGCCTCCTGCAGAGTTTATCTCCACCCCTAATTAAACACCTGAACCAGATAATCAAGGTGTGTTGGGGCGAACTGGAGATAATCTCTGCGGGACCTTGGCTCTCCAGGAGCAGGTTTGGACACCCGACGGACTGACGGCTGAAGGTCTGGAATCCATGGCAGCTTTCTTTGTCCAGGCCTGCCCATTAGGCTGTTTGACCGACATGTCAAACAACCAATCACAGTTCGTTTCATTCAGCAGCACGTTTCGGGGCGTGGAAATGTCACCACAATAACAGAACGGTGTGTAAAACTCTCAGACGTATTTTAAAGATTCTGTGCCGCGAACTTTAAATATTTCACATACTTTTGAGAATCCAGCGTTTAGTTGATCCTGATAAGCGCTCGTCGTCACAGTTGTAAACACGATGGCTTTCTTCTTTTGTGAGGGGGTTTGGCGCCACAGTATCTTTGTTTCCAGGTGGAACCTTATAGAATGTGACATAGGTCTCCCGGAAATCCTGTAGAATTCAACCAATCCAATGACGACTTCAAAACTCCTGAAGTGTTTCCACTTTTGTGTGCCGTATGCATCAGACGTTCAGCCCACAGTCCGTGGGCGTGACGTCTGAGGCTAAGACTAGGACACCCCCTGACTTAAACCAAAAAAAGTCATGCTGAATATCAAAAACTTTAATTCAATTGTTTCAGAGTTTTGAGGACACTGTCTTAATTTTGTCTTCCATCTTCTTTTCTTCTCATTTCAATTTCACTCCATTCTGTCCATTTGCTTCTCACTCAAACGTATCCCATTCTTCCTCCTATCTGCACTGTTCCAGCCGGATGTCTGAATCAGCAGTGCCTGCTGTGACCAGGAGCAGCATGCCCACACGGGTGACCCGAGGAGCAGCCGCACAGGCTGGAGCCCTTGCTAAAGTCACCCAGGTCTCCAGGGTCCAGAGGGCCAAAGCCCGCACTGAGCGTCGCCACCTGGCACGCAACCGCATGCAGCGACAAAACCGTGTGCGTGAACAGGTCCAGAGGCGCGCGACCCACACCCGCAACTCCTTCCTGCACCAACCGTGCCAGCGCAACTTCTGCCACTGAGGCATCAAAGTTTACATTGAGGGCATTATTACACACCCCAAGAAACCCACACCTCCCAATGAATCCCCTACCTTCTTAATTGACCTCTAAAGTCCTCCTTTTGCTTTTACTGGTTTTATGTCAATAATTGTATTCAGTTTCATATTAATCAGGTTTGTTTTTGAGCACCAGCCTAAATCAGTTTCCCAGTCTGGGAGTATAGCTGAAAAGGAGACGCGTGTAAACTCTGTATCTTTACATGCATCCCTCTAAATGTATAACAATGACACTTCAGGTATATTGGCACTGTTCGTTGAAATATAATCAGGTTAAATTGTCAAAAGAATGAGCGAAGCACTGAATGCTTCATAGAAACATGACCCTAAGATTTACAGAAGAGATTCGTACCCTGCAATGTCACATTGAAAAAAAGCTACTACAGCAATGGTACAGCAAAAGGGTCACTTAAAAACAACAAGAATGATATGTATGTAGATAAAGGTGTGAGCAAGAATAGAAACAGATACAAGCAGTTGAAAGTTTGCAGAGCAAGACAAATCTAGTGGGATATGTTTGTAAAGAGGTCATTTTGAAGTAGATGTTGCTGCCTGATTTTCAGCATAGTGGTGCTAACGTTCAAAAGTAATTCAACCCCCAAAAAATTTCATTTAATTGTTTGCTATTATATGACCTCTGTTCCTAAACCTAGTGGGATCCCTATCTAGACAGCATCTAGGAAACACCTTTTATAGGTGTGCTTCCACAAGACCGTTTCAATGAAGAAATCAATTCAAGATGGTGGCGAAAGCGGGCACTGTCAATTCTGTACATACTCCGAATGGGAAAAAATACCCCAGTGTATTTAAAAATAGATATTTTCACCCAATATTTATGTGTGCTATGAATCTGTGCTTATTAGAGTGTTGCCTTGCGTTAGCTTAGCAACATGCTAACACCAAACTCTATTGGAATCAACTATAAGCATCAAAACTCTTGTGCACTTTGTCACTCATTCAGTACCAAAAAGTATAGAAAGCAGCTTAGCAGCATGTTACCATCAAAACCTATTGAAGTCTATTTTAATTCATGTCTCTTGAGGCAGCTTCTTAAGAAACAGAGCCTTCAGGTAAACTGAGGTCGAGTCCATCAAGAATAGTACTCATACTATGCCAACAACACATTACTAATTATCTTTACAGCTCACATGATCAACATATAGAACGAAGAGAGGTTGCCATAGGCTATGGATATAATTGCTTAGAATGTGCAGGATAGTATAGATTGTGACTCTTTATTTGCTTCATGGAGAATTACTGATGGGTGAATCTCACAAAACATGTCAAGATGGCTGCATATTGTGCATATTACAATTGCTTTTGGGATGCAATTTGTCTTGATGTTTTTGTGAGATTGACCACAAAAAACAAAAACAAAAAAAAAATCAGTCCCTTCATGTACTTGTCCACTGCAAAGTTTTCAGTGTAGCTCGAAAGTTCCCCTGTCACTAGGGTTTGAACGACTTCTGATTTTATAAAGTCGACTAGTCGCTGATGATGTCATTAATGAACAAATGAACAAGTAAGTCTGGAGCTGTGACAAACACCTTGTGCACAGCTATGGCATATGACACAGCGCTGCCCACATGGTTATTGCTCCTATAACAGCTCATTTTTATCAGTTCTTTTGTCTTTAGGTCGTAATATTTCTCACAGATTTCTGCTCGTTCTAAATCAGATGCAGATAAAGTAGCACAGTAAAGATTACATTCATATGAATGCATTAGTGAGAGCGATTGTGTGTGTGAATTAATTCTACCTGGTAGTGTCTCTCTACTAGCAGTGAAGCTGTGGAATTTAGTTATTAAGAAATATATGCTTGAACTTTTCAGTTTCTAAGCTATTTTATTGAGAAATCACAGAACAGTGTTGACAATACATTTCCGCTCTGAATGATTGTGCGCGCGCGATCTGCGCTTGATGTACTGTACGAGCTACTGTATGTAGCCTATGTGTGTGCGTTACATTGCAGCAGCGCATTAGATTAGAACAGCGATTAACGTACCTGTACAATAAGCCATTTCAAACGTGCATTCTTCCATTCAATTTCGAGCATCCAGTAATATAATCACACATGTCTTGTATGCATTTATTTGTCATTTTAACTGTTTGGAAACTGAGCGTAAATGTGGAAGTCCTTCAAAGATTTCTTATCCTGTTGCACCCTCTATAGGACCAGCGACTAGTCAACGTCAAGCTTAAAGCGTCATGGCAGAGCATTGAAGTCGACTAGTCGATTAGTCGGTGCAACCCCTACCGGTCACGCACTTAATGATTTGTGAGAAATCACTGTGACCACAGAGACAAAGAACGAAAACGTTTCCCATGACCATTTCTCTGCTTCTCAAAACATCCGTTTTTCAGACAATGTTATTATTTGCATTTCATCATACCTCTTAAATATTGCTTATACGATTGTGCTTTACATCTTCATTGTATTCTGATGTCTGTCCATCAGAGGTTCATCGTCTCTCTTGTGACAGACCCAGCACACATGCACTCACACTAACGCATACGTCAAATCCTAAAATGTGCTCTTTCTTGATAGTGAGCGAATACTCTCGGCACATTTACAGGAAATGCGTCCACCATCTTTCTTATGTGTATTCAGTAATGAGTAGACTAACTACGGTGCTGAAAGTATATAATTATATGACTGTTTGTACATTTTTGAGACTTTGAGAAGTTTGCACTGTCTTACGTTTTATGGAGGATCATGGTGTTTAGCAGTATGCTGTTTTCGTTTGCAATGGTGAGTGAGATGCCAACATGCATGAGTTGGGGGAAAAAAGCTACCTTAAGAGGTAAACAATTAGTTGCATTCACATGTATATAATTGCAAACTATTTACAGTGTTTGCGTTATTTTCATTTTGAAACATCACCTTCCTGTTTTCATGGTATCGTTTAACCGTATGTTGTTCCAAAAACTTGAGTACACTTCATTCTACTGGGTATTTTATGATAGGAACCAACGTTTGCCATGTTGTCAATACCACCATTGAGCTGTTTTGCATTGAGGGGATTTGATTTTACATGCAGTTTTCTTTTATTTCTTCTCTCAGTTTAATGTTGAATCATTTTAAGAGTTCTTCTTGTAGACTTTCCTATCACCTGCCAAAATCTATTAATATAGTAGGCTATCTAAAGCGATCTATTAACAAAATAATGTAAGTATAATGTAAATCTAAATATGCTTTTATTTCTTTGTTTTCATTTGAAACTGGCTGTTTCTACATTATATTGACTCCACAGAGAGTGCAGTACGAATGTCAGTGGTGTATCTAGGTAAATTCAATGCCCTGCAGCCTTACAAGGGTCCTTAACATCGTCCACTTGAAGGTCGTCTTCTATTTGCATTGTTTCTACATGTTAGATGAAGTGGACAAGGCATGAATATGAAATCAGTGATCTCTGCCCTCTGAACAGATCCGCCACTGCTGTTCAGGGTAACACCTGGTTACTGTATACTCTGTGTTATCTGTGTGTGTGTGTGTGTGTTCAATATGATTCATTTCATTTGTGGGACTAGAATGATGTCCGTTAGGCCTCATGAGAGGCTGGTGGAAGCGATAGTTATTTGTGATTTAAGGGAGGCTTGACTGAAAACATGAAATGAGAAAAGACAACACAAATAAATATGCTTGTATTTTTTCCTCATGTTGTTATTAGAAGAGATGTTCACCTTAGTAACAAAATATAAATAGAGTATTAAAAATGATCGGAATATGATATCTACGGTGATTGTGCCTTTCACTGTTCTGCATGGTTTTCATGATGTGCCGACTGTTTCATCCACATGACATGGGCATCAGAGACCTATGCAAAATACTATGATGGGTTTCCAGCATCTTTGCAGAAATGCAGGTACAAGACGATAACAATAAATACTCAGGATGCAACTGCAACATTTACCTGTGTGCTTGTTCTTTTTTCTGTGTTCGTGCACATGACTTTAAAACACCTACAAGGAATGTAACAATTAAATATGACTCAAACATATAAAAATGAATAAATATGGCAATATATACACACCTGATGTTTCGTATAGAAGGAAAGCCACAGTACTAGATCTGTCAATCATAAAGAACGTGCCATGGTTGCTACATAAAAATAAGGGTTAGCTACAGTGTAAATCTAATAATGACATCGACATAGTCCACATTTCCGAGAAACTTCAGTGTGTTTGACGCGCATTTAATTATGCACACACAAAAGCCTTCTCGTGAGGGACGAGGAACCTGCTAAGCAGGATCCACTTCTATGCAATGATTGCTGCGCATGCGCAATGTTTGATTCATTTAAAGCAATGGATGCAGTAATTCGCCTGGACTAATAGACAAAGGATCTGAACGGCGCATTTCACCTGTAAGTACGTTGAAAACGCTGGAGTTAGAGCATTATTGCTGTCGTTTAAGTGCTGGTGTAAACAAAAGCATCATCCGGGCGTCTTTGGCCGTTGCATTGCGTTTTAAAACGGCGTGTAAGCTAAAAAGACTACATAGTTCAAATAAATAAAACATCTCAACATCATTGTGTTCTGTTGTTCGCGTCGCATGTGTGAACGCCAGCGCCCGCACACCTGCGTCTGTAACGCCGCGTTGATGTGTCAGCTGATCCTTCAGGGTTTCTGCTGCGTATCCGTGTCAAAACCCCGAGCGTGTAAATCAGCTACAACACACGGCTCTGATCCGCGCAATAGTGTGGATGGAGATACAGATGCATGGAAATTAAGCGTGCTGTTAAACGCGCATCTCGTCGCGCGCTCCGCTTTATTTTATGTATTATTTGGATGTGCAGCACTACAGTAGTGAAGGGCGCTTCATACGCGCATCCTGCTGTGTGCGGTTTGACGAGGTGTTTTATTATATTATATTATATCGACTGATTTGCATGACTGTTGTTGTTTTTCTCTTTATCGCCTATAGGCCAGCGATGCGTTCGATATCAGCTGTAAACGAGCATCCACCAGGCCTTCATTGCTGTCAATCAATAAAAGATATGGAGGGCTGATTTATAATGTCACACTGGAAGTGATGAATTGTGATTTCAGATGAGTTTTGTATTAGAGATGGGTGTTGAATTGTTAATTCAGTTCAGGGTGACAGTGTCAGTATAGTTTACAAAATGCCCAAAAAACATGTTTTTTATTTATTTATTTAGATCAGCGTTAAGATTTTAGGTTCAAATAATGCATTAGTGAAAATGTATATTTTTAGGTCTTACGGGTAACCTTATTATTTTTTTTTTTACTATTTTAACGTTTGAAATGGTTCGGCGGTTTGACATTTGTGAAAATGCAATATAGCGTGTCAATAAATGGTCATAAAACCTGCATGCCTAATAGTTACAAAAGGAGAAGCATGCTGTGTAAAATAGTTTTAGGTGGAGAATTGCGTGTCAGCTATTCATAAATATGCATGTAAACATGCAGTCAAACTAAAAGCAGCGAATAGGTCGACACGCAGCAGAGAAAATCCTGATGAAACTCTCCAAACCTTCTCCTAGAGGTCAAGTCACATTTACTATGCAGCACTTTATACAATACAGATTGTTTCCAAAGCGGCTTCAGAGTAATAAACCGGAAAATAGCACAATTAATCAATTATGAAACCGCGGTTTCAAAACACAATAGTGTCATAGCTCCGTTTAGCTAATTGTTGATTCGGTTCACTAACCGGAAGTGCTAAAATACAAACTCGTTTTACGGGTTTTGGACCTCATCCCCCCATTTGAAAAAACCAGCATATGCTGATTAGGTATGTTTTGATGCTGGTTTAAGCTGGTCCTTTGCCAGTTTATGCTGGTCCTTTGCCAGCACATGCCCAGCAAAAGGACCAGCTTAAAGCAGCAAAAGGACCAGCTTAAAGCAGCAAAAAGACCAGCATAAACCAGCAAAAGGACCAGCATAAACCAGCAAAAGGACCAGCTTAAAGCAGCAAAAGGACCAGCTTAAAGCAGCAAAAGGACCAGCATAACCAGCAAAAGGACCAGCATATGACCAGCAAAAGGACCAGCATATGACCAGCAAAAGGACCAGCACATGACCAGCAAAAGGACCAGCACATGACCAGCAAAAGGACCAGCCCATGACCAGCATAAACCAGCAAAAGGACCAGCAAAAGACCAGCATAAACCAGCAAAAAGACCAGCATAAACCAGCAAAAGGACCAGCATAAACCAGCAAAAGGACCAGCATAAACCAGCAAAGGACCAGCTTAAACCAGCATCCCAGCATCAAAACATACCTAACCAGCATATGCTGGTTTTTTTCAACAGGGCCTGCAGCACTCTCTATGTTATATTGAATAACTGCTATGTATTTATCAGCATTGCACTGATTTCCAGTTGGTGATTTCAGGTAAATCATGTACTCTCCGGCAGCCGATACGGGAGTGACGGTGGTTGAGAAGGATGCGGCTCTGAGCAGCGCGTACTCACCTGTGGACTACATGAGCATCACCAGCTTCCCTAGACTACCAGAAGATGAAGTTTCAGCCGACAACATCCTCAAATCACGCAAAGACAATGATAACTTCCTCAGCGAGCAGGACACAGGTAATGTGTTTGATCATAGTGCCGTCTGGTGTAGTGTCCACACAGTGGCCTGAGTTCTGTCCTGTCTCTGTGCGCAGACCCCGATCTGTTCCTGAAGACGGCCCGACTGCAGCAGCTGCCCTCCTCTGCCTCAGACTTGGCCAGTCAGGATATCTCTCCTCTGAGAGAGACCAGCAGAGACCCGCTGGCACAGGACTGCGCCTGCACACGTGACGGGCTGACCGTCATCATCACGGCCTGCCTGACCTTCGCCACGGGAGTCACCGTGGCCCTCATCATGCAGATCTACTTTGGAGACCCACAGGTGCTGTGAAGTACTACCTGCATTTTGGTTGGTTTTCAGTGAACGATGTACCTCAGATTGCTTTGCTCATTGAAGAAAGGTGTGTTATTTTAGGGCTGTCAAAATTAACACGACAATTGCGCAATAAATATAAAGGGTAAAATTTGAATGGTTCAAATATCTAGAATGGCTTTATGGTATTTAGTCTATAAATGCATTCATTTAGTATAAATAGAAATGCACAAAAATGCATTTAAAAAGGCAGCACTAGTTATTCTGTCCAATCAGACTTAAGAGGTTTGGGTGGTGGAAGATAAAATGAAAATAAAGAAAAGTTCCATTAGATTTTTTTTTTTTGATAGATACAGGTGCATCTCAATAAATTTGAATGTCGTAGAAAAGTTCATTTATTTCAGTAACTCAACTCAAATTGTGAAACTCGTGTATTAAATAAATTCAATGCACACAGACTGAAGTAGTTTAAGTCTTTGGTTCTTTTAATTGTGATGATTTTGCGGTTCTCTCGGTTGATTGTGCATCTTTTTCTTCCACACTTTTTCCTTCCACTCAACTTTCCCTTAACATGCTTGGATACAGCACTCTGTGAACAGCCAGCTTCTTTGGCAATGAATGTTTGTGGCTTACCCTCCTTGTGAAGGGTGTCAATGATTGCCTTCTGGACAACTGTCAGATCAGCAGTCTTCCCCATGATTGTGTAGCCTAGTGAACCAAACTGAGAGACCATTTTGAAGGCTCAGGAAACCTTTGCAGGTGTTTTGAGTTGATTAGCTGTTTGGCATGTCACCATATTCTAATTTGTTGAGATCGTGAATTGGTGGGTTTTTGTTAAATGTGAGCCAAAATCATCACAATTAAAAGAACCAAAGACTTAAACTACTTCAGTCTGTGTGCATTGAATTTATTTAATACACGAGTCTCACAATTTGAGTTGAATTACTGAAATAAATGAGCTTCTCCACAACATTCTAATTTGAGATGCACCTGTGTATATATAAAAAGATATTTTTTCCCCAAAAAGAACAGAACTGTTCCTTAATGTCAGTCTCTTCTGTCCTCAGGTGTATAATCAAGGCGCGGTGGTGACAGATGTGGCCCGCTGCACGTCTCTGGGCTTTGACGTTTTGGGCAAACAGGGGTCCAGTGTTGATGCTGCTATAGCTGCTTCCCTCTGTCTGGGCATCATCCATCCCCACACCTCGGGCATCGGCGGGTACGAGTGCTACTTCAGTGTTTCACAGCAGTCTTTGTTTACGTTTATGTATTTAGCAGAGGTTTTTATCCGAAGCCACTTACAAAAAGAGGAACAAGGCAATTTATCACAGAGCCAACGATAGTTGCACAATGCAGTGCTTATTAGACAACTAGATTAGAACGCGAGCTAGAGAAGAGGAGAAATGCAGAGAACAATTGTGTGTGTGTGTGTGTATAGAAAAATGCTTGCAGGAAAGGTGTGTTTTCAGCTGTTTCTTGAAAGATGTGATGTAACTAAACTCTGCAGGGCTCTGGTCCTCCAGGAATTGAGTCTGACACCCCTGTAAAACTTGCTCACAAATTAATGTGAAACAGTGTACAATGTCCATTTTTGGTTTAAATTTTATATTGAAAGTCTGGCCAGAAATCTATGTTAAAGGACCATGCTTGACGCGGAAAAAAAAGGCCCAGTTTTTACTTTAATTTTCTCACAAGGTACTGAATAGGAGGCCCAAACGAAAGCGAATCATCAATTAAAAATCCCAAGTATTTATACTTGGATACTACTTCAGTCTCCAAGCCTTGAAGAGTAGTGATTGAGCATGAGTTTGAAAGGGCAGACTTTCTTTTTTTTAAACATCATAAGTTTAGATTTCTCCGCATTTAAAACAAATTTTAAATCGCTCTGTGTATGCTGAACTGCATCAAAATCAGATTGAAGATGACTCCGAGCCTGATCCAATGTTGATGCAGAGGAGTCAGACTTTAATTTTCTCACAAGGTACTGAATAGGAGGCCCAAACGAAAGCGAATCATCAATTAAAAATCCCTTATTAAAAAGTATTTATACTTGGATACTACTTCAGTCTCCAAGCCTTGAAGAGTAGTGATTGAGCATGAGTTTGAAAGGGCAGACTTTCTTTTTTTTAAACATCATAAGTTTAGATTTCTCCGCATTTAAAACAAATTTTAAATCGCTCTGTGTATGCTGAACTGCATCAAAATCAGATTGAAGATGACTCCGAGCCTGATCCAATGTTGATGCAGAGGAGTCAATCACCATATCATCAGCATATTGAATGTGCGAGATTATTCCCAATATTATTAATATATTAAATAAATAATAATGGCCCAAGGATCGATCCCTGTGGAACGCCGATATTTACATTGAGTACTAGAAGTCAGTTTCTCTAAATTTATACATTGAGATATATCCGATAAGTAACTAACAAACCATCCAACAGTATTTACTGAATATATTGAAATATATTATATTGAAAGTCTGGCCAGAAATCTCTGTTAAAGGATTTTTTAAAAACATCCTTTTCCAGTAAATCACTTATAACTGAAACGGTCATGGAAATTCACTGGTGAAAAATTCCAGGAATCCTGTAGAAAGTTTTGTAAGAAGGCACATGTGCAGGGGAAGATGAATTGATTTTGTGTGTGATGAATGAGAAACAGTGAGTGACTGTATGTGGCGCTCTTCTCAGTGGTGGCGTGATGCTGGTCCATGACATCCGCAGGAATGAGAGCCGGGTCATTGACTTCCGCGAGACGGCACCCTCTGGCATTCACGAGAACTTGATGTTACATGTTAATCAAAGGGTAAAGGTTTATTTCCATCTGCTTTCATCTTCTCTTTAAGTGCGTCATATGATGATGCTAAAAATCCAAAGTGAATTAATAAGTGCAAGTGTTTTCACAAGCACAGTATCTGTACTGTGCTTGCTCTGCAGTGATGTGTGTCTTTCCTTGTGTCTGTTAGTCAGGTCTGTTAGTGGCTGTTCCCGGCATGATCAGTGGACTACACCAAGCTCATCAGCTCTATGGAAGGTACAGTTCAAGATACAGCTGTGTCCTCACACACAGCAGATACAGATCTGACTGCTGGCCTAAATTCTGATTCACACTTTAGCTTATCTTGACTAAGAAGTGCACAATTAAGCTGGAAGAGACTAAGCCACCAATGGCAGGATACTTTCATGTGCAGGACCAGTGTTTTTTGTTGTTGTAGGTACTCGGAACACAGTGGGTCTGTTTGCTCAGCTGAAGAGTGTAAAATTAGTCTCAAAGTGAGAAATGAGGGGGAAAAAAGCAATAAACTTGATTACTGAAGCATACTGATTGTAGGCTTCTCTGATGAGCTTTTTTTTAGGTGGACTTTTTCCACACTGAGGTGCATAAGCTCAGATCAGTGAGGCCTATGATCAATCAGTTCCAAAATAAAGCAATAAGCCCCGTGAAGCCGTGGTTTACAGTGAATCTATAACAGCTAAGGGGCATTGTTAGACACGATGCGTAAAACCCCCTTAGCTGTTATAAAATCACTGTAAACCACGGCTTCACGAGGCTTATTGCTTTTATAAAACGGTTATTCCATATACGTAGTAAGGTTTCACAAAATAAAACCGAGCAAATAAAGTGCAATGATAATAAAAACAGTATTCTTCCACCAAACAATGTAGCTCCTCAGAATCAGCACACAGACGTAAACAAAGGTGTGTGTTTGTAGAGTAATTTACAACAGCTGCGAACGCGGCTCAGCCAATCAGAGTGTTTTCTCTCTCCTCTAGAATGCTGTGGAAGGATGTCATCACGATGGCTGCCGATGTGGCGAGGACTGGATTCAATGTGACGCATGAGCTGGGTGAGCATTCATCACACATGTGATTTACACTTTTGTGCAGTCTACAGGAACTGTCTGGTGACTTCAGCCGAGAAGACATTCTGTTTCAGAGGTTACTGCATTTTGATGATCAATACATAGGCACAGTAAGATTGTAAATGTATTATTTTATGTTGACGTTTAAGCAGTTTGGTATATCTCGCGTCATCTTTCACAGCTGATGCGCTGTCTGAAGTGAAGGAGCAGAATGTGTCGGATGCATTCAGAGATCTGTTCCTGCCGAACGGTCAGGCTCCACTCGCGGGACTCTTCACTAAACGCCTGGATTTAGCTGCCGTTCTGGACAGGATTGCAGCCAATGGAGTCTCCGAGTTCTACAGTGGGAATCTGACTCAGGAAATTACATCAGTGGTACGCCTCCAGTGCCATTTTAGTACTATTGCTATATACTTTTATAGTCTTTTTTTTTTATTTGCTATTTTCAATTTTCATTTTAGTTTGAGGAATTTTATGCGCTTTTTTTTTTTTTAAGTTTGCTTTTATTTTTATTTCAGTTTTTTTCCAGTTTTATTTTTTATTTCAGTTTTAACTTTATTTAAATTACTGAAAACAATTTGTAATAGTTTTAGTTTTTTTTTTAAACAAAACATTGGTCTGACCTATCAGATCATTAAAATCTTTCAAATACTCACATTTGTAGCCATTTTCTTTTTTTTTCCCAATAACTAATATTTATATAACAGAACATATTATAATATTAATATCATTGTGTTTTTGTGGCCAGGTTCAAGCTAAAGAAGGTGTGCTGACAGAGGATGACTTCAAAAACTACACCACTGTCATACAGAAGCCACTGCAAAGTCTTTACCAGGGTAAACACACATCATAGATGTTTAATATGCTTAACTATTGCAGTTTATTACTTTATTAAATGCAGTAGTTTAGGTGTAGTAGTCTATTAGATCTGTTCCTGCCGACCGGTCAGGCTCCACTCGCGGGCCTCTTCACTAAACGCCTGGATTTAGCTGCCGTTCTGGACGGGATTGCAGCCAATGGAGTCTCCGAGTTCTACAGTGGGAATCTGACTCAGGAAATTACATCAGTGGTACGCCTCCAGTGCCATTTTAGTACTATTGATATATACTTTTATAGTCTTTTTTTTTTATTTGCTATTTTCAATTTTCATTTTAGTTTGAGGAATTTTATGCGCTTTTTTTTTTTTAAGTTTGCTTTTATTTTTATTTCAGTTTTTTTCCAGTTTTATTTTTTATTTCAGTTTTAACTTTATTTAAATTACTGAAAACAATTTGTAATAGTTTTAGTTTTTTTTTTAAACAAAACATTGGTCTGACCTATCAGATCATTAAAATCTTTCAAATACTCACATTTGTAGCCATTTTCTTTTTTTTTCCCAATAACTAATATTTATATAACAGAACATATTATAATATTAATATCATTGTGTTTTTGTGGCCAGGTTCAAGCTAAAGAAGGTGTGCTGACAGAGGATGACTTCAAAAACTACACCACTGTCATACAGAAGCCACTGCAAAGTCTTTACCAGGGTAAACACACATCATAGATGTTTAATATGCTTAACTATTGCAGTTTATTACTTTATTAAATGCAGTAGTTTAGGTGTAGTAGTCTATTGACCTTCAAAAGCTGTGACACATAAAGTCCAGACAGTAAAGCAATAAAAACCCTTCTGCTTTGCCCTATATCAGTTTCATAATAGTGAATAATTGCTGTTGTTATTCGACTTCTCAAAACTGGAAAGTTAAGTGGAAATTTAACAACGCTGCAATTCAGCAGAATTTTTATAAAGTACACAATAGTCATGCTTGGGTAAAGATGTTTGTTTGGAAGCAGACTGAGTAAAAGTTAGAGTAGTCCATAAAAAATATTCTAATGCATTAAAGTGATTGATATCTTATGTGCTTAAGTACCAAAAGTGCAAGTGCTTCTGGACAGTATTTCTGTTTTTGTTTTTATACACTTCTGCTATGCAGTTTGAGTGATGACTCATGAATTATGATAAAGGTATATTGTTTCGCTTGTACATAAGGGGTGTTCTATTAAATGCAGATAGTAAAATGAATGAAAAAAAGTAAAAACGCACACCTGTGACCCTAAACAAAATACAGTTGGCTGATGAAAATTATTTATTTTAAACTGGGTTAAATGGTTTATTTGAATTTATTAAGTGGTTTAAGAACACCTTTTCTCTGATCACTATAATGGTTTCTGGTGGCTTATTGCTTAATGGAAACGTCATTAGATAAATGTAGACTTGACTGTTGCTGCATGGGTTAACGTAACGCTTAGGATTTTCCTGTTGCCTGTTTTGGAAAATCTTTAATTCAAGCCATTGATCGCTCAGTTTTCCAGTAAGTTCGACAGTACTCCTGCAGTCTCGAGTACCTCAGCGATATTTAAATTGCTCTGACAGGCTACCGGGTGTTAGTTCCTCCTCCGCCCCACGCGGGAGCCGCCCTGCTGTCCGCTCTCAACATCCTGGAGGGATTTAACATCACAAACCAGGTGTCCAGGAGCAGCGTTTACCACTGGATAGCTGAGGTACTGCAGCACTGTAGCCAGCATTTCAGTTGATTTATGGCTTTAAATAAAATGCAGTAGTGATGAATTTATGCTTAATAAAATCTCTCTAAAACTCCTGTCTGTTTAATTTCCTCCACATGTAGTCTCTGAAGATTGCTTTGTCTCAAGCCAGTGGACTGGGAGACTCCGTGTTCAATTCATCGGTTTCTGAGCTGGTGACGCAGATGCTCAGGTGATTATTGAATCAAAGCTGAAATGGCATGTTTATTTCAACAGCAGTAATTGGATTGTTCACAGTGTGTTTCTGTACCACTTCCATGGCATTGGCTTAACCTTGGCTGGCTCTGACAGTAAAGACAAGGCTGCTGTGTTCCGGCAGATGATCAGTGATTCGCAGGCGTACGCGGCTGAGCACTACACGCCGTCATACGAGCTGCAGGAGGGCGCTGTGGCCAGCCAGCTCATGATCATGGGCACTGATGACTTGATCGTGTCTGTTATGAGGTGCGTTACTGGAGGGCCACTGTCCTGCAGAGTTTAGCTCCAGCCCCAGTCAAACACAACTGAACCAGCTAATCCAGGTCTTCAGACTCTCTAGAAGCATCCAGGCTCTGGTGTGTTGAACTAAACTCTGCAGGAAAGCGGCCATTCAGGAGCAGGACTGGACACCGTAAATAAATGTTTAATTTGCATAATTAAAGGGATAGTTCACCCAAAAATGAAAATGTGATGTTTATCTGCTTACCCCCAGGGCATCCAAGATGTAGGTGACTTTGTTTCTTCAGTAGAACACAAACGAAGATTTTTAACTCAAACCATTGCAGTCTGTCAGTCATATAATGGAAGTGAATGGGAATCACGGCTTTGAGAGTAAAAAAAACGTACACAGACAAAACCAAATTAAACCCCGTAGCTCGGGACGATACATAGAGGTCTTAAGACACGAAACGATCGGTCTGTGCAAGAAACTGAACAGTATTTATATCATTTTTCACCTCTGATCCACTGCAGTGTCCGACTGTCCTGAGCGCGTTCTCAACATTTAACAACACTTGACGTCAAATAAATACAATCGGGCAAAAAATTCCACGTTGTCTGATGAAATATCAAAATCGTCTTCCATTGTGATGACCTGTACTTCTAAATCTTTAGATCATCGCAGTGCCAGAGAACACATCCGCAGTCTCTCTGCACTGTGTAAATAATGAGTGACGTATACGCATGACAGATCGCTTCCGCACATGCGTCTACTATCATAGATACAGTGGGGGAAAAAAGTATTTAGTCAGCCACCAATTGTGCAAGTTCTCCCACTTAAAAAGATGAGATACGTTGATGCATCCGCCATTTTGGAACGTGTCGCGGCCCATAGAAACAGTCACTAATGAGGCATCTACTTATATATATCTATGTGCCAGACCACGTACACGCGTCACGCCCCGATTGTTGTGAATGCGCTCAGACATTGCGGTGGATCAGAGGTAAAAAATAATATAAATACTGTTCAGTTTCTTGCACAGACCGATGGTTTCGTGTCTTAAGACCTCAATGTATTGTCACGAGCCGCAGGGTTTAATTTGGTTTTGTCAGTGTATGGTTTTTTTACTCTCGAAGCCGTGGAGCCCATTGCCTGTCATTATATGACTGACAGACTGCAATGGTTTGAGTTAAAAATCTTTGTTTGTGTTCTACTGAAGAAACAAAGTCACCTACATCTTGGATGCCCTGGGGGTAAGCAGATAAACATCACATTTTCATTTTGGGTGAACTAGCCCTTTAATGAATGATTTAATTCACGTTTGCTCTGTTCTTAGCTCTCTAAACCGACCGTTTGGAAGTCGCATCGTGACGCCCTCTGGGATCCTCCTAAACAGCCAGATGCTGGACTTCTCTTGGCCCAACAAACCCCACAGCTCTGCGGCTGTCAATCTGGTATGCCTAGGTGCCTACACATGGCAAAAACAGACACACACTCACAAAAACTTGCTGTTTGAATTATTTTTAACTTCTACATCCATCTTTTTTTTAAAGATTTAAATAGTCATTCTATCCCTCTCTTTTTTGCCATTTGGTTTGTAAGGTGCTCTTAAGCAATTTTGATTACTTCTGCCAAAAGCCTTTCCCTCTCTCCAAAACTCTTCCCCCCGAAGGCATGTCAGCAAAGCCCAATGTGCAAAATGAAGAATGAAACTATCATTGTGAAGTGTCGCAGAATTCAAGTTTTTCCCTGTAAATTATAGGATGACTTTGTGAAATGTGCCATAGGCACAATATTTAAGATTTTTTTAATTAAAATATCCAAAAACCCACTAGAACAGTGTTATATATTATGCTGACTTGTGTACTTGCATTATCCCAAATGTTTTGAAGAATGTTTAAATCTAGAGAAATAAGCGATTTTAACTAGTGACACGGAGCGTGTCCATCGTGTATTGTGTCGCCTGCCAATGACGTCATAACCCTAGATTTCCGGTTTTGTTTTGTAGAAAACATGGAAACACCAAAGATGCTTTAATATGTTGTGCGCTTTAATAGACATATTTTGAATATGTGCCCTCTAGCAGCAAAAATGACATATTGTGCCTTTAAGTAGTAGCTTTAACTTATTTGTAGCAATAGCCAAAAATGCATTGTATGCAAAATTATAGATTTTTCTTTTATGCCAAAAATCATTAGGATATTAAGTAAAGATCATGTTCCATGAAGATATTTTATAAATTTCCTACCGTAAATATATTAACTTAAATTTTGATTAGTAATATGCATTGCTAAGAACTTCGTTTGGACAACTTTAAAGGTGATTTTCTTAATATTTAGATTTTTTTGCACCCTCAGATTCCAGATTTTCAAATAGTTGTATCTCAATATTTTGTATCTAAATATTGTCCTATCCTAACAAACCAGCTTTCAGATGATGTATAAATCTAAATTTTGAAAAATTGACACTTATGACTGGTTTTGTGGTCCAGGGTCACATATATAACACTGATACTAAAAATTTAATTAATTTGTTGAAATCTGGAAGCCGTAAAAAAAATGCCTTTTTAAAAATATGCACATAGCAGTCTAATTTCAGGTAAAACCAAAGAAAGAAAACATCAATATTTTTATACAGTACACAATATTACGCTACGTCTATTATTAAATAGTAATGTGACATTTGCTGGTAATAAAGTCATGACATACTCTGCCTTCTCTTAAAAAATAAAATTTTTATCATATAGTTTATAAAGTGTAAAACATGTTGAAGATGAGTGAACAGGCTATAGATTAATAAAAGCTGTTTATTCAGCGTTGGCCGTTACACTTCCATTGGCTTTGCTGGAGACTTCTAGGCAAGTGTGTTGAAGCTGAACCGGAGCAGGACTGGGCACTCCTGTATTGTAGTTTTTCGCTGTATAGAGTAAGGGAACTTACCGTTAACAAATCATCAGGTTTTTACTATTAAAGTTGCAGTTTTTCACAGTAGGTGATACGTGTCAGGATTGTAACATGTTGTGTGTTCTCATCAGCATAACAGCATTGAGCCGGGCAAGAGGCCGGCCTCGTTCCTGACGCCGATCGTGGTGAGGCCGTCTATGGGGCAGTGTGGCAGCTACGTGGCGCTGGGCTCCTCTAACGGCGAGCGGGCGCTGAGCGGCATCACGCAGGCAAGCTGTCTTTACTGTGCTGTGTGCATGGACTCTAGCACATCTCATTCGCTTGCTAACATCAGTCTCTAGCAGTGAGCACATATTCTGGTGTATTTGCAGGTTTTGATCAATGTTTTGTCATCACGTAATAACATGAGCGACAGCGTGTCCTACGGCAGACTGCATCCTCTCATCCAGAACAACACCCTGCTGGTGGACTGTAAGCTCTCCATCGTTTACCGTAGTTTACTCTGGATTTCATTTCAATCTTTTCTCTAATGTAGTGTATCGTGCATACTGCCTGTTCTTTTTCTTTTTTTTCTTTTTTTTTATAATAATGCCCAATGCTCATCAAGGCTGCATTTATTTGATCAAAAATACAGTAGAAACAGTGATATATTATTACAATTTAAAATAACTGTTTTCTGTTGTAATATATTCATTTGAAATATATCTTTACTGTCCGTTTGAATCCATTTAATGCAGCCTTTCTGAATAAAAGTATTAATTTTAAAATAATCTTAATCTTAAAATAATTTAAAAAAAAAAAGTTTTAATAAAAAAAAACTCTAACTCTAAACCTTTGAACATTAGTGTATATGTAAAAAAAATCCTGAACATTTAGAGACAAGGAAATGCATCATTTAGACGCTTTCTAGGAGAGACAAATATTAAATAATCTTTTTTTAATTATTATTAATGCACTATTTGTAATGTCATCATCACCATTCAACCTTGTAACAAAGTAATTCTAATAAAAACTTACATACTGGTTAAAAAAAAATGTATAGCCTGAATGCACTGCAAGTCGCTTTGGATAAAAGCATCTGCTAAATGCATAAATGTAAATGTAAAAAATATCTGAAATATATAATTTAATATATAGGAATTAATCAACAATTACAAACCTATATATATATATATATAATATGGCATTTTGTTGGTTTCATTTTCATGCTTGGAAAATTGCAAAATAGCACAAGTCAGGTTATTAAATTGTATTTTCACATGCTGTATGTTGGTAACATTGCTGCAAAACCCATAACAATAGAGGATAAAACCAATGCTAATACAATGTAAATGGTAAGTGCAATTTCTTAAAAAAAAACTGTATTCCTGCATTCCAAGCCCTGTTTTGTACTCTCTATGTGGAAAGTGTCATATGTGACTCTTCAAATTCATTCAGAGCAAACCCCCTGCAGTACTGTTAGAGTACGACTGTAGAAGTGTGATTTTGAGGGTGTTGTTCTGCTTTAATTCTCTCGTTCTCTGTCCAGCTAAGTTTCTTGAGGAGGATGTGAAGTCTCTGATGCAGAAGGGTCATGATGTGCGTAAGGTGGACATCATCTCACTGGTCGAAGGGACCCGGAGGACCAATGACCTGATCATCGGTGTGAAGGACCCACGCAGCACTGACGCCTCAGCACTGTCCATGTCCATGCCCTAGACTCTCACACACTCCCACTCTCTGCTGCTTGATTCTGATGCTGTTTGTGCACTAAATAGGGACGCTATGAGGTTTCCAAGTTGATAACTAAAATAGATGGATAATGTCCGCTAGATGGTAATGAGCCGCTCCCTGCTATCCACCACAAACACAAACTTTATTTATTTTGTTTTAATTTACCTAAAGATTTCAAGAACTATGTATGTTATCGCACATGACTGGATAAGTTAAAGGAATAGTTCACCCAAAAATGATATTGCTGAAACTTTACTGATTGAAAGTGATGAAGAGCTGATTTCTTCATCAGATCTGGAGAAATGTAGCATTGCATCAGTGTCTCGGTGCTCTGCAGTGAATGGGTGCCGTCAGAATGAGAGTCCAAACAGCTGATAAAAACATCACGATAATCCACAGCACTCCAGTCCACCAGTTGTTAATGGATGATGTTTTGCTCAATTTCTTTGATGGTCTAACGGTGAACAGGATTTCACTTTTGGGTGAACTATTCCTTTAACTGCTCCAACACAGACAGTATGTGCCAAAACATTTGGACATATCTACTCATTATTTATGATTGATATTTTCCACATTGTGGAATTCTAGTAAAGGCATTAAAACGGTGAAATGCCACAAAAGGAAGCATGAGAGTTATGTAGTGAAAATGTTAAACAGATCTAAATAATGTCTAGAGTCCAGCTGAGCACACTTCTCTCTCACGAGGAGCATCTTCAAGCAAATGAACAGTATTGAAGGTGTTTCACGTGTGCTGCAGGCCTGCTGGCTGCTTTCATTCACTCATAAGATCACAAGGAACACATTTAGTCAAGTGTGTCCAAACTTTTAACTTCTCTTAATTCAGAGTCATCTGAGGATCGTGTAGGATTATGTGAATTACTCCAGAGGCAGATAAACGCAAATGAAAGGATTTTTTTTCGTGTCTTGCAAGACCTTGCAAGGTCTCTTGAAGTCTTCATGAGGAGACATACCTTCACAAATGTGAGTAAATGTTATTTGAAGTGAATAAATGCTCCTGTTTACGAATGAATGGTGGTACATATTATATATTGATTTTTGAAGGTTTGGTGGGAACAAAATGGTAACTATTTAGTCTTATTTTATTAGTCAATCAAAACATCCTGGAATCATTAATGAAATGGTCTAAAAATGAGTGAAGCTGAGAGAAATGTCAGTTATAAAATATGAGGTAAATAAGATAGATTTTCCTAGAGTTGCATAAGCTTTCAGATGCAGCAATTGTTTCCTTTTATAATTTTATTTTAAATTGTGGGTAACAATTTGCTGATGTAATTGTAATGCATTTTCTCTTTTATGTGGAAACCGTGAAATGAAGTTTTAGTTTATGCACATATTTCTGAGTGACAATCATTGACTATTTAAAAGTGAAGTGAGCTTCCTGTTAATGGGCACATTTGGTATTTTCTTCCACAATTGAATATTAGTATATAGCTTTACAGTGACAGTCATTACCGTGAAGAATAAATATTCATATGTAGTGTAGTTTCTTTGCATAATTTCCAAACTCATTCAGCATGCAGTTAGATGTACTCCTATAATCTATGCTTTGCATATGTTTAAAATGATCATATAGGCTTAAAACCACTGGAAGGACTATAGATAGGGGAGGGTGGGGACGGTTGCGACATGGCATGTCAGGAATGAGCTACAGTGATGTTCATACTGCACATGCTCAACTAGCCCCTCATCCTTCCTGGAAGAAAGCAGCCACATGTCACCATTCCTTCTACAAAAAAAAAAAAAAAACATTTTTTTTTTTTAAAACTCAAAAAAAAGCCGGATTAAAATCTAAATATACTTTTTTTTTTTTCGTGCTCAACTAGCCCCTCATCCTTCCTGGAAGAAAGCAGCCACATGTCACCATTCCTTCTACAAAAAAAAAAAAACTTTTTTTTTTAATGATCAGATTTTTTTGTCATACTGTCTCTAAGTTGTTTGCGTGAAGCATTGTAAAAACATAAGTTTAATCTGTGTTTTCTTAGCTTCTAATAGGTATAGTATTTGTCAAGGATATTGTGTCAAGCTACTATAAGGTTTATCACGGCTGTCAGTGTTGGGACAGTTGAACCTGGTCTCAGCATGCTGTCCCTTACCACAACATTGATGTAAAAGCTTGCCATAACATTACATAATTGGAATTATGGATTAATAAAGAACCCCTTTCAATAGTTGGGTATCTCTCCTTTTTTAAGGAAATAGGTTAAAAATCAGTTTGAGTCTAAGGTGGACTCGTTTCCTTCACTCTCACGTGTCATACACACACACACACTTAACTATAACTCAGTTACATAAAAAGGTAGATTTGTCTAATTTGAAAAGTAAGACTGATAACCTCTTGGTTAACTGCTAGTTGGTCTAAACATAGTGGCTTTGATTTTTTAAAATCGAATTACATGATGTGCCGATTAATTCATTGAATTAATCTCATTAATTCGATTCATTAATTGGCACATCGTGCTGATTAATTTAAGGTAATTTAAAGTCATTATTTTGTTAAATAAAAAAGAAACTGAATAGACATTACAAAAAGCGCCAGTAGGTGGCGACAAACTGCTGTCTTAATGAGTGAGTGAGTCATTCATTCAACCGATTTGTGCAAACGGCTGATTCATTCAGAAAAGAAGCAAATGAATGGCTCACTGAATCACTGGCTCAATCGATTCGTTCAAAAATGTGTATTCATTCAGTAATGAATCACCGCTGTGTGTTGATCAGAGACGCACAAGGGGCCCAATTTGGTGCCCTATAGGCAAGATTTTAGCTGGTGCCCCTTGCATTGCAGCCAATTCCACCAATTATGACATAAAACAATTTAAATTACATATGAAATAAATAAGACGGTTGCACAATAAATAGATAACACACTCACTCACACAGACACACACACGCACACACAGACTATGGCAAGCCAAAATGGTCAGAATTACGCTATAGCTAAATCGCGTTTACATACAAAACGCCGTATTTGACGGCGTTTTAAACAATATTAGCGGCTGTCGCCGCAGTCCTGATATAAACCAGCATCTGCACGCTGCTGAAGTTATAAAAAGACACTTTTAAATGTATTGTAATATTTTTACTGAAGCGTCATAGGATTAATCTCCAATATGCTATCCAATAACTGCGCTCAGACCCAGAGGATATGGCTTGTTTTAGATGATCAGATCAAACCAGTTATTTTTGAATATTACCGAATCTGGGCTTGGAATATTTCTTTATTTGAGTGACTCAAGTTTGATTTAACAACAAATCTAAATACGAACAAAAAGAAATAAAGAGAAATGACACACACACACACACACACACACACACAGACACACACACGCACGCACACAAAAACACAAACACACACACACACGCAAACACACACACGCACACACACACACACACACTCACTCACACACATCAAGCAGAATAAGAGTGCATCTGATGTACCCAGGGGCGGACTTATCCATTAGGCAAAGGTAGGCGACCGCCTTGGGCCCCCAAAAGCCAAGGGCCCCCTATGCTTTTCATATAGGTCATGCGCATTAAGCGCAGACACGCGAACGGTTGCTGTTTACGGTGTTTAGACACCCGTCCGAGTCAGTGTCTCCTGCAGGTGTACGCATTGTGAGTACCATGAGCGCTCAGACTGACCTCAGATTTGCCCCGCAAACATTTCAGCAGTTATCATAGGCCTGTGTGTCCCGTATTTCTGTCGACTGAACCAGCCATGCCATTAGTTATGAATGTATCAGTCTTTTGCATGCCAAAGTCAATTTCTGCATATAAATATTACGCCAAATAGAAGCAGAAAAGCATGTTATACGCACTTTCATGAGATCGTGTTTGCCTACAACAATTAATTTGTTGGCTATTTTACAAATGGGAATACGACAAATTCATGGCAATGTTTTACATTCAAGCTACCCGTAAAATTTATAGTGAAAAGTACTTTAAAAGCGTCTGGAATGCAATAAAGTCATTTTAAAGCATGGGTAAAAAATAATAGGCTAATAAATAATTCACATATCAGTCAAAATTGCGTTGCAGCAAATCCTTTAAATTTGAAGGTATTCAGAAATCAGAAAATAGAAGCAGCTATACAATTATAGGACAAAGTTTTACATATATGCCATTATAATTTGTGTTTTATTTGTTAATTGTACGGAATTATAAAATAAATGCAAATTATAATTGGGTCTGTTTTAGTCTTTTCCTTATTTTTATATTTTAGACATCCATCAATTATGGTGATGAAAAAAATGACTCGCCATTTCCTCTTTGGATGTGCCTTTAGAAAGAAATGCACGGATTACATAATGAAAGAGTTTCTATTTCCTTTTAAAGTAGTAATTTAAAGCTACATATTTAATACATTTTTTTATCATGTCTGTGAGGCAATTCGCGGAGTTTATACACTGACAAAAAAAACCTGTTGGATTAACATAAAAATATGTACATCAGTTGCACATATTAAAGTTAGATTTACTCAACATGATTTATACATGTTAAAGCTACATAATTTGTTTGTTAAATGAACATGATTTTAATGTCTTTCATTCATATATGCAGTGGTTTCTCAAATAAAACTATCCTGGTTAGTTCTAGTTTTAGAATACTGTAAGCTGGCTTTCATAAATACATGTATTTTGTACATCTACTAGTCTTAGCTACAACATTAATCCAATACAGTTTTAAAAAAGTAGCAAGACAAGCAAAAACATTTCTTGAATCAATTCACTGTATTTTTAACAGTACAATACATTTTCACATAGTATGTGCTACAGAAACTTTCTGTGTTAAGATGAAAAATTGCTTAAATTCCATGAATGAATGACTACGAACAATGACAGCATATCCGGTCATTAGACAATTCAGATATAGTAAAATGCAACAAAACAAAGACACCATCAAACAGGTGTTCTGGAAAAGGTTAACAGGAATGAGGAGTATAAAGCAGTCCAAAGTACAATACATTTTTTCACCGAGTATGTGCTACAGAAATGAGCTTTCTCTGTGTGAAGTTAAAAACTGCTTCATGGAATGTAACGAATAACTATGAACTATGACAGCATATCTCCTGTCATGAAGTAAAAGACGAGACACCATCAAACGTGTAGTGGAAAAGCTGGACAATAATGAGCATTAAGTAGTCCAAAGCTTCCCTTGACGTTTTAGTTTTAAAGGCAGTAAGACGAGTCAATTTTGTTGAACTTTCTTCAAGAATGTTCATTTCTGAGTGGACATTCCATTTGAACCAATCAGGTTTTAACCACTCAGGTCCTTTTAACCAATCAAATTTGACCAGGGGAAAAAAACTAACTATACACATCAAACCACCACAAAAT